GAGATGGGGTTTCACCATGTTGGCCAGGATGGTCTCGATCTCTTGACCTCTTGATCCACCCGCCTCAGCCTCCCAAAATGCTGGGATTACAGGCGTGAGCCACTGCACCCAGCTTGATTTTTAATTGATTATTTTTTAAAAATTAATACATGCACTTTTAAATGGTAAATAACAATTGTACATTTATGGGGTACAGTGTGGTATGTTGATACATGTATACAATGTGCAATGATCAAGTCAGGATTTTAGCATATCCATCACCTCAAACCTTTATCTTTGTGTTGGTAACATCATATATTTTAACTAAAATAACTAATTTTTATTTAAAAAATGTGTTGTTCTAAAAAATGATACAGAACGGTGTGAAGGAAATGTGCTTCCTCCTCACCTCCCACCAATGTCATTTTTCCCAGGTGTAACTACTGTTAATATTAAGTTGGTACAAAAGTAATTGCGGTTTTTGCCATTGAAAGTAATAAATGTCTTTTGCCTAGACATTTATTTTAATTATATATATATTTTTTCCTCCTATATTCTTAGAATTTTTAATGAAAATAGGATCATACTTTTTTATTGTTTTGCACTTTTCATTTTTATTCACATTTAAAACCATCGTGGACATATTTGTAAAATTTTTAAGTATGAATTTTATAAATAATGCTGTGATAATTTTTATATAGTAAATCAATAGATCAAGAGAAACATAGATGACAGTCTCTTCTGAGCTACACTGTTCAGCATTTCTGAGATTACTTTGGAGTAGTCACTGTTATTTCTACATCATGATGTGTTAAGTATGTTCCACAAAACACAGCTTACCTGGGATTCCCTGACAGAGAAAGGGTTCTGGGTCAAAGAAGAATGGAAAATGCAGCATACTGGAAGATTGATGGTGCACATTGACAATGTAAGCCCCTGAGGTCTCTTAACCAAGAAGCTTGTTTTACTTAACCCAGTAATTTTCAAATTCCTTTAAAATGCTCAAGTTTTTAAAAATTCTGTGAGAATACTATAATGAATCCTCATTATTATAACACTGAATCCAATTATCAAATTTTTTCCAGAGTATGCTTTTCCTATTTTTTTTCCATTGGTGGAGTATTTTAAAGCATCATTTAGTCACTGCATACTTGCTTATGAATCTAAAAAATGTAGTATATAATATATAAGTCCTTTCATTAAAGAACTAGTGCTATCCCTAAGAACATATTGGAACAACAATGTTCTAAATTAATAATGGCTATAAAATCAACAGAAATTAGAAAGTTATGATAATAGAGCTTTAATGGAATATATTCAAGAGAGTCTTTTTATTTACCAGATTGAAATAATCACTTTTATACATTAATGGTAATTCTACCAATCTTTCTCATTCACTTTTATTAAGACCTAAGTAAAACAAATTTTGTTTTTTGTAGAGTAACATTTTTACAAATAAGATTTTATTATGCTTTCCTACTTTTTAAAGTTAGTTGAAGAACATGTTCTTACATTCCTGGACGTTATATTTGACTTTGCTTACATGCCAAAGGTAGGTACAGTACATACCAAGTGCCGTGAACAACACCATTTCTATAACATGGCATATGTGTTCCTAAAACTCAAATTGCTATGCAAAGTTCTGCAATGAAACCACAAGGTTTATGGGGAAAATGAGGTTAGTGGCACAACGCTCAAAAGATTTGTTACCGGCACATTAAAAGAAAGGAAACTAATAAAAACAGTGGCCCAGTTTTATATGTTAAATGTTTAAGAAATACGTAAGTATTATGATAAATATGGCACTTTGCCTTGAGAAGGGGAGTTTGCTTGGAAGTTGATGTGGAAGGATTGTAGCTTGTGAGCTACTAGAAAGTGATGGAAGGAGGGTGATCTGAATTCAGATAGGAATTTATAATACCAGATGTGGATGGCTGTGGCCCACTGTCCTGAGATACGTTCATTTTGAAAATTCTGACGTAGCTTGGTTCTACTGAGTGCAGCTTTCTTTTCACCTAGTGTTTCATCCAGAGGAAAGATGTGAAACCAGGTACAAAACTAGCATTAGGCTCAAATGGTTCCCTAATGTGTCAATGCCGTAGGAGGAAATTTGCACTTTCAAAATAGTTACAGCAGTACTTACTAGATATATATATATGTATGTGTATATATATATATATGTATGTATGTATATATACACACACATATATATAGCAAAACTGTACATATATATGTATATATATGAATAGTCAGTTCTGCTATACATATATACATTTATAATCACTTCTGCTATACGTATATATATATACATAATTTACTGTTAAACTGAAGAGGGATTCATATTTATAACAATGCATTTTGTTTTATATTATGCTTTGACTTTCATATTTAAATAACTTGGAAATATCTACAGTAACTACTCAATAAGAGCTTGCTTTGGTGCTAATGGAGTTGCAAATTCTGGAATCAGGGTAGTCTGACCTTACTTTGAGACCAACTTCCAACCACAAGCCTTATAAAGTGTTCCCTTATTTGTAAAGGAGCCCTCAGTCCACATTTCTTAATGAACACATAGTAACAGTCATAGTTTTTTAGCTCTTTTCATATGATAAATGTTTTAAAGGCATTTTTCACTTATTGCTTAGCTTTTAAAGTAGATGTTACATTTCATGTTGAATATGATAAATATGTATAAATTTTATCAATTAAATACACTTTTTTAAAAAGTAAATGTTACAGATCTACGACTTCTTATTCAATTCCAAAACTTCACAGATTTTTTAAATCAGGTTTTGTGTAATTTTCGTCTGTAGAACCTGACTTCTGCTATAATATGAGTCTATTAACTGTCTTTACCCTGCTTAGTACAAACATTCAGAGGCTTTGCCAGGTCCATGTAAGCTGAATTTGATTAAAATATCTTCTTTGGGAAACCACTCCTTTCCTCAGTGAGGTCCCAATGGAGTTATCCCTGTTTACACACATAAACACAGACACACACTTTTTCACACACACATACCCCCTCTCTCTCATATACACACACACACTCCTGTTTTTCCCCCCAGCACATTAAGGCCCATCAGTGTATTTGGTCTTACTGACAATAGTGATTGGTTCCAAGAGGACTGATCCAAAATTTTGTCTTCCCTAAGATTGTAGGAGACTGTGTGTCCCAGGTTACAAGGTATAAAAATCATGTAAGCCCTAATCTCTGGCATCTTCCCCAGCTTCATGGACCCTTTGAGATTGGCTTTATTTTTCAATCGCTTAATGTCCTTTAGATTTATCCAAGTTGATGCATATATCAG